TGGGTGCTGGCTTACTTGACTAGATTAAGCCATTTCAAAGTTGTCAAAAAAACAAAACCTCTTTCATCGCCTCAGTCCACAGCTTCACTGAGGAAGCCTTGGACTTGAACGCTCTAACTACAACTGCCTCCAAGTCTAAGGCTTCCCTATTGAAGCTGGGGCCAGGCTAACGGCACCATTTGGACAACTTTGGGGTTAAACCATTTGTAAACAAGTCACTCTTTAACCCCCTTCAGGACCGGACTGTTTTGGCTATGTTGTACATTAAGGACCAGAGCTGTTTTAACACTTTTGTGGTGTTTGTGTTTAGCTGTAATTTTCCGCTCTCTCAGTTACGGTTCCCATACAAATTATATATTTTTTTTTTCCAGGACAAAAAGGGGCTTTCTTTACATACCATTATTTGTATCATGTCATATAATTTACTTTTTTTAAAATAAAATATGGTAAAAAAATTGAAAAAAAAACACGTTTTTTTACTTTTATTTGAAAAATATTTTACTTACCTAGGAAAGCTAATGAAAAAAAAACTGCTAAATAGCTTCAAAATTTTGTCCTGAGTTTAAAAAAACACCCAATGTTTATGGCTTTTTTTTTTCCTTTTTTTGCAAGTTATAGGGCTATAAGTACAAGTAGGAAATTGCTGTTTCAAAATATATATTTTTAAAATTTATCAATAGTGACATTGTAACACTGTTATCTGTCATAAATCTCTGAATCACACCTCACATGTACATTTTTTTTTAAATAGGCAACCCAGGGTATTCAATATGGGGTATCTCCAGTCTTTTTTAGTAGCCACTTAGTCACAAACACTTGCCAAAATTAGCATCCAATTTCGTTTTTTGCAATTTTCACACACAAACAAATATCAATGCTAACTTTGGCCAGTGTTTGTGACTAAGTGGCTACTAAAAAAGACTGGAGATACCCCATATTGAATACCCTGGGTTGCATCTCCAGTCTTTTTTAGTAGCCACTTAGTCACAAACACTGGCCAAAGTTAGCATTGATATTTGTTTGTGTGTGAAAATTGCAAAAAACGAAATTGGATGCTAATTTTGGCAAGTGTTTGTGACTAAGTGACTACTATAAAAGATTGAACATACCCCATTTGCAATACATTGGGTTGTCTTCTTTTGCAAATGGTATGCCATATGGGGGTAATTCTCATTTCTGGGCTACCATACGCTCTCAAAGGCAACATAACCAACCTTTTCAATGTAAAAATATTTGACCCTTCTATTTGACCCTGTAACTTTAAAAAAACCAACACTATAAAACCTGTACATTGGGGGTATTGTTATACTCAGTAGACTTTGCTGAACACAAATATTAGTGTTTCAAAACATATCACAACAATTATATTGTCAGTGAAAGTGCCGTTTGGGTGTGAAAAATTAAAAAAAAAAAAAAAATCACTTTAACTGACAATATCATCGCTGTGATATGTTTTACTGTTTTGAAACACTGATATTTGTGTTCAGCCAAGTCTCTCGAGTAAAACAGTACCCCTCATGTACAGGTTTTAGGGTGTCATAGAAAGTTACAAGGTTAAATACAGTGTTTGCAAATTAAATTCTCTGGACTTTCGGCCTGGGTTGTCAGTCTGGTCCCTCAAATTGCAATGAATAAAATTACTTAATTTAGGAATAATAAGAAATTAAAACACAGTCTGGGTGCTAAATCAGACTTAAGGTGCTAAAAATCGCTTCACACTCTGCTGCAATTCCCAAAAACTACCAACAAGAAATACTGTGAAAAAAATGAGTGGAGCAAAAAGGAACACCAATGTAAAGACAATAAAAGAAATGGAATACAAACTTTCCACTTATTTGATGATTTCTCCGAATGGTATAATTATATGCAAAGAGAAAGAGAAAATATACAATAATAGTGCAGATGGTTAACACTAATAAGGAGTGTACTTCCCAGCAATTAAATAGAACCTCTTAGCACTTATATAGCATCTCAATAATAAAGTGCTTCAAATATGTGAAATAAAAGATGAATGAAAAAATGACATAGGTTTATTGTCTGCTACATGCAAAGACTTAAAACATCAATACAAAACAAAGTATATAATAAAAGGGTAATAGATAAGGAGGGTGATTGGCCCCTTATTGAATATGGTGGTGAGTTTAAACAGCATATGCTGTAACTCACTGCTTTAGCTTTTCAATAGTGGGGTAGCAGACAAGCTGCGCTCCGCTCTCCGGGCTCGGTTAGTATGCAGAACTGATGGTTTGTTGGAATCTCCAAAAGTCAGCTCCGAGTTCCGTGCACAACAAGCTCCTCCCCTTACGTGACGTCAACGCGTTTCACCGTGATGCGGCTTCCTCGGGACGTGTTCATAGCCACCATCTTGGTTATGGGCATATAAATGGCAAAGTCCCTCATGATAGGTTGTTTCTAAATTGTCCCAATTGCAGTTTAATGCTTGTTAAAATCAATGTAATTCTGACATAAAAATGTACAGATTACTTCATAATAGAATAACAATAAAAGGTTATACTTAATTACATCAAATGAGAGAAATGTTCATACAAAACAGCCTGTTTTACAAATTCATCTAAAAAAAGGCTTTCGCCCTTAAAGTGACATTGTGCCTTAAAAAGTACAAATCATGACATCCATTTTACTTACATAAAAGGATCAATATTACATAGGAATAGCATCTATATAATGTATGCACAGTAACTATGCATGGAAGAAATATATTTTAAAAAACTTAAACATAAAATGAGTTAAAAATGTAAATGAGACTCTTATTGCTGATCAAATAATTTCAACATATATTGACAATAACAACAGTAAATACAACTTCTTTGATGTAGTATTGTATAATTCCTGCTTGTTATGTATGGAAAAAAGGAAGAACAAAAGCAAGGGTTAGTCTCAATATTGCAAAAAATTCCCCAAAATTTCACTAATTTCTGTCTTAAAGATATAAATTACCGCCTTTCAGTGCAAACCATGTGGGACTTAATAGTGAAAAAGTTCAGACGTGAATAGACAGTGCAGAAGAGTTTAATACATATTGCAATTTAATAATAAATATACATATAAATGTGCATATACAGAGCATACAGACTAAAGAAATATGGAGGGGTAGAGTAATGTCTTGAATGTTAAAACTTAAAAATATTTTCTTTTTTTTTTAAATGATTTAAAAAAAATAATTTCCAAATCACTAAAAATCTAGTTATTTTTAAAAATGGCATATTTCGAAATCATTGTTTAGGCCATGTGGGATCATGGTGTTCAATTCAAAGATCCACTTCATTTCAGCTTTTCCTATTTTATCATTAAAATCACCACCTCTCCATGTCTTTTGAATTTGTTGGATCCCTACAAAACTTAAATGTATGGGATCTGCCCCATGATATTGTTTAAAATGTACCGAAACTTGATGTAGTGCATACTGTCTCTTGATATTGTATATATGTTCGCTTATGCGTGTTTATAGGGATCTCGTTGTACGTCCTATATAATTTAGTCCACACGTGCAAGTGAGCATATAAATTATATTTTTTGAACTGCATGCAATTCCTTCTTTCATTTTATATGTAGTTCCATTCACGGTGAATTCTTTTACATGTTCTTTTTTATTTTGTGTTTTGATACATGCACTGCAATCTAAAGAAACCTTTTTGTTGATTTAAAAAATGATTACCTTGTTTTTTAGGTTCATCTAGGACGTTATTTACTAAAATTCTTTTTAGATTAGGGACACCTTTATGTACTATCCTAGGTGTGTTGGTGAGAATATTGTTTAAAATAGGATCATCCGCAAGTATTGGCCAATGTTTTTTTGATAATATTTTGAATTTTATAGTTATGCCCCCCTGAATATTGACAAATAAATGGAACATCAAGGTTTTACAGAACAAAGTCAAAAAGTCATAGAGAAAGAGGATATAATGAAGAGATTCTAAATGAAGCAAAAAAGAAAGTAGAAAGATTGGATAGGACAAAAAATTCTAAAGTACAAGGAGAGAAAAGACATTAATGCTAACCTTGATGTTCCATTTAAGAGATGAATTATGCTTGAACAGACACAGGGCCATCTTTAGCGCGGGGCAAACGGGGCAGCTGCCCCGGGCCCAGTTGCTCCTGGGGGGGCCCCAGAGTAGCCGCCCCGTGGGCCCCGCGATTTCAGCAGCCCCCATGTACCTGGCAGCCGGCAGTGCAGCGGCACCGGCCCGCCAACTAAGGAAGCCCCCGGGTGGCCCATGCACTAAGGGCCACCCTGTGGGCATGTGGCAGAAGGGGCCCAGTTGGGCGCTGTGACGCTTAAACAGCGCGACCGGGCCCCTTCCTGTACCGGCTGGGAGGAAGTGAGTACCGCGTGTCACTTCCTCCCACCGGAGATAGCCACGCGGGAGGAGGAAGGCAGGGAGGAGGGGAGTTCCAGAGAAGAACTCCCATCTGCCTCAGCCTGCCACTGGACCCCAGGGAAACCACCCTCCATAAAAAGGTAAGAACCTGGAGGGTAGCTAAATGTATGTCAGTATGTGTGTGTTTAGTATGTCTGTGTATGTGTGTTAGTATGCCTGTGTGTTAGTATGCCTGTGTGTGTTAGTATGCCTGTGTGTGTTAGTATGTCGGTGTGTGTGTGTGTGTGTTAGTATGTCTGTATGTGTGTGTGTGTTAGTATGTCTGTGTGTGTTTGTTAGTATGTCTGTGTGTGTGTGTTATTATGCCTGTGTGTGTTAGTATGTCTGTGTGTGTTAGTATGTGTGTGTGTGTGTTTGTTAGTATGTCTGTATGTGTGTGTTTGTTAGTATGTCTGTATGTGTGTGTTTGTTAGTATGCCTGTGTGTGTGTGTGTTAGTATGTCTGTGTGTGTGTTAGTCTGTGTGTGTGTGTTAGTATGCCTGTGTGTGTTAGTATGTCTGTGTGTGTGTTTTAGTATGTGTGTGTGTTAGTATGTCTGTGTGTGTGTTAGTATGTGTTTGTGTGTCAGTATGTGTGTGTGTTAGTATGTCTGTGTCAGTATGTCTGTTTGTGTATGTATGTCAGTATGTCTGTGTGTGTCTATGACAGACATACTGACATACACACACACACAGACATACTGACACATACACACACACACACAGACATACACACACACTGACATACACACACACATACTGACATACACACACAGACATATACACACACAAACATACTGACATACACACACAGACATACTAACACACACAGACATGCTGACATACACAGACATACTGACATACACACACACAGACATACTAACACACCACACAGACATACTAACACACACAGACATACTGTGTGTATGTCTGTGTGTTTGTATGTCAGTATGTCTGTGTGTGTATGTCAGTATGTCTCACTGTGTTCCAGTGTGTGTGTGTGTATGTCAGTATGTCTGTGTATGTCAATACGCCTGTCAGTGTATGTGTCTGTGTCAATATATCTGTCAGTGTATGTGTCTGTGAGTATGTATGTGTCTGTGTGTATCAGTATGTCTGAATGTGTGTCAATGTTTGCCAGTATATATTTTTGTGTCAGTGTATGTGTGTGTCAGTATGTATCTGCGAATGTTTTAATGTGTCTAGCTGTGTGTGTATGTGTCAGTATGTCTGTCAGTGTGATTGCGGGTTGGGCGTAATGGGGAGGGAGGGTGCAGTGACAGGGCCCAGGCGGCCCAAGAAAAGGTCCTATTCATATTAGAGACGGCCCTGAACAGACATATAGCGCAAATTCAAGGTTTTGTTTACGTTTTGTTTTAATCACAACTTGTACAATTGGCTCAGTCCTTAAGGGGTTAAATTAGCCCCTTATGGATGGAAGGCAATTGTACAAGTTATGAACCAAAACAAAACCTGGAATTTGCGCTATATGTCTATTCAACCTAATTTATCTCTTTCATATTATGTGCACCCACACTTATCATATATCATTTTGTTCAGGATGAATAGAGCTTTTATTTCAAATCAAATATTTATATAAGAAACATAATTTAATATGAATAAAATCAAAAAAAGTTTGAGAAATTAAGAAACCTTATTTTCCAAGTCAATGGCGTAAACACAAACCATGGGGGACCCCTCCCCTCCCTATTCCCCTCTCGACAGACACACAGACACATACAAACAGACAGGCACACATACACACACACATAAAGACAGAGGCACACATACAGACACACATAAAGACAGAGACACACATACAGACACACACACACACACATAAAGACAGAGGCACACATACAGACACACACAGACAGACACACACACACATGACACATACATACAAAGACACATACATAAAAAAACAGGCAGACACAGACACACACGACACAGACACACACGACACATACATAAAAAAACAGGCAGACACAGACACACACGACGACACAGGCAGACACAGACACACACACAAGATGCACATACATACAAACAGACACACAGACACACACACAAGACGCACATACATACAAACAGACAGGCACACAGACACACACAAGACGCACATACATACAAACAGACAAGCACACACACACACATACAGGCAGACACACACACACACACATACAAAGACATACATACAAACAGGCAGACACACACACATACAAAGACATACATACATACAAACACACACAAAATGTTTAAGTCACCCTCCTGTTTCCTACCTTTAAGGTGCAGGAGGGTGACTTTCCCTGGGGTCCAGTGGTGGCTCAGGTGAATGGGAGTCAGAGTTCTCACTCTGACTCACTCGGCTTCCTCCCGCGTGGCTCTCAGTGTTAGCTGGGAGGAGTGACGTGCGGTCACTTCCTCCCAGCTTGTGATGTCATCACAGGGGGCCCGGTCACGCTGTTAAAGCGCCCAACGCTGACCAGGCCCCCTGACAATCCACATCCATCGGGTCATGGGCCACCTGATGGACCTATTGGACGGCAGCCCCGGCGGTTTGCCGCGTGGGCCAGGGCCGCAGAGGATGATGGCAGCGGATACCCGGTCACAGGGGTCCGCAGGGAGGCTGGGCCCCCTGGAGTGGCGGGCCCGGTCGCAGCTGCAAACCCCTGCAACCGCGGTATGTACACCGCTGTTCCAAGTTCTGCATGGCATTTTAACTGTGGTTGTAGCTAGTGGTGAGGCAGTAGGGAGGGTTTTGTGAGATGCCTGAAAATGAAACGGAGATAAATTATCAGCAGTGACATTTTGTATACCAGGAACATGAATACACACCAAGAAAAATGGATTACAAGTAGCTAGCCAAGTCAATCTCCTGAGGAATCTCATTATGGTCAGTGACGATGAGCGCCCCTTGTTCATTATGTGTCACGTAGCCTGGTTGTCTGAGAAACATTTCACCGTATGACCTGGTCATAAAATACTCCAAGTCAAGGAGAGCGGTGGCCATGGAGAAAAGACACATCTTAAGTGAGCTCCCTTACTTTCATGCTAAAAGCAGCCTTCCGAAAGCCCCCTCACCTTAGTAAGGGGATAATCCAGCTAGGTTATTGAACCTTGACCGATCTGACATGTTATACGGTGATCAGAAACCTGTCGGAGGCTTACTTACCTCTATGTGACTAATAAGGCTTAGTGCTTGACTGCTCCAGAAGCCTTTGCCGTTAAAGACCAGTGGTAATCGTAAAACCCTGAACCCCCATATTTGTGCCCCAAGTCCACCAGCTTGCACAAATACAGATCAAACTCCTCTCTCCTATGAGGATAAGCAGAGTAGAGAATGTCTTTGTTAATCCCAAAAGCCAACACAAATTCTGGAATGGATAGTTTCCTATTTAGTCTGGGATCCTTAGCTTTCAATACAGCAGACAAATCCCCATATGAATGTCCTATTATCAACAATATCCTAGAGCGACACTAGATTTACATCTTTGCCTTCCAGGAACCATATGAGCAGGATTAACAACATGTGGGGCATTCATGGAAGACAATTAATTACCCGGTGGTGCGGTAGGAAGTCCTGTCAGGTCAGTAGTGGTCTGACCAATGGAGGATAAGACCAAAGACATCATGGGGTGAAGGTCTGATATGTTAGAACCACTAGGGCCTTCTCCAGCATCAGTGTTATCAGCATTAGTACCTTTCTGGCTGTTGCAGAGTATGGTATATTCTGCTGGAATAGTCCATGACCTAATGGAAGCAGGACTAGCCTTGTCCACTCTGCATGTAGGCGTACAGGACCAGGGGTGCTAGGGAGAGATAATTCTTTACCACCTTCTAGGACTTGAGACATACTAAAATGTAAAGTGTAAAGTAATAATTAGAGCTAACCCCTATAGAGTACTGGCTTACTAGCTAATGCCAAGTGGTGAAATATTCACTAATTTAGTGACAGATGAGGCCCTACTATTTGCTTAGCGGCATGAGAGGCTCTATCCATGCTTTGGTCAGAGGGGATTTTGTGGTCACCGAATGTTGTGGCGGGGTGTTGGCCTCTTGGTGAGTTTTAAAGCATAAGATAGAATGGGTCTATCTAAGCCACCATGCAAGGAAAATAACTATAAGTTGGGCCGATGGGCGAAGTACCTTCCAGTATGAGGGTGGGTGTTGGCCTTGCAGGACCACTAACATAAGGCATAGAGGCCTGAGGAATTAGAATCTACTGGACTCCTAATTCCCTGGTAGCCAGTAACCATACTAACAGGAGGATGAAACATATGGTAGAGAAGATGTAAATAGCAGAAAAGTGACATACCTGGATTTGTTAATATCGGGTATGTTGTTTAGAATCAGCGAGGGTTCCAGATCATGGACTCGGACATAAGTATTACTTTATAAAATGACCTACTTATCCAGCAAGGTACAAGGTAGCATAAGCATAATACTGCTCCCACCAATCCATCCTCCCTTATACACAAGTATGTCCCGTCTAGGCCCTTACGATCTGCTGAAGACTTACGTCTATCTTCTGTCCGTACTCCCACCTCTGATGCTCGCCTTCAAGATTTCTCGAGGGCTGCACCTTTCCTGTGGAACTCGCTTCCCTCCTCCGTTAGATGCTCACCCAGTCTCCACTCCTTCAAAAAAAAATGTTAAAAACCCACTTCTTCAGAGAAACTGCTATGTTTATAGGGTTAATCCAGCCTCTAAAGCCTCTAGTGGCTGTCTCATTGACAGCCGCTAGAGGCGTTTGCATGCTTCTCACTGTGAAAATCACAATAATGAATGCTTTCCTACGAGACAGGCTGAAAGCGCGCGCCGCTCCTGCCGTGCATGCGCATTCAGCCGAAGAGGAGGAGAGGAGGCGTAGAGGAGGCGGAGAGCTCCCTGCCCGACGCTGGAAAAAAGGTAAGATTTAACCCTTTCCTTGCCATCCAGCCCGGCGGGAATGGGATCCTGAGGGTGGGGGCACCCTCAGGGCACTATAGTGCCAGGAAAACGAGTATGTTTTCCTGGCACTATAGTGGTCCTTTAATAGCTCCTGACTGATTCCTCTTCTACAACTATCACTAGTCTAATACTATCTTTTTGTGTCATTTTACCCCACTCCCTCTAGCATGTAAGCTCATTGAGCAGGGCCCTCAACCCCTCTGTTCCTGTGTGTCCAACTTGTCTGGTTACAACTACATGTCTGTTTGTCCATCCATTGTAAAGCGCTGCAGAATTTGATGGCACTATATAAATAACATAACAATAATAATAATAATGCACTGAATGCTGAGCAGCCCATAACCTGTAAAATGAAAACATAACATACATAGTGAGTGATGGACATAGAAACAGAAGATTAAATATAAATACAAAAACCCATCTTGAATGTTGTGGATCAACTAACCAACCAAAATTCAGGAGTCCTAAACAAGTGGCCTAATGCATAATAAAGCAAATAACATGAATGAATATATTGTGGAGTGACCTGAAACATGGAGGACCAAATTGGATCTGGACAACAATTATCTTTCAATTATAGAAAATTGAAAGTGACCCACCTATCACTGATATGATTCTGTAAACCAGGCCAATGACAGAAGATACGTATGTGAGCCCTATAAATCTACTATTAACAAACTTAAGAAAAACAGACAGAAATATTAGCTGAATAGCGAGCATTGCGAGTGAATAAATCATCTAAGAATTACCCTGAATACGTTAATGTGATCATCATACAGTATAATGCCGTAGTGAAGGCTCCATAGTAGGAGTTCCCTAGCACAGCATAATGCATCTGATAACAATTTGTATTCCTTAGTAACTATTGACATATCCCCCAGTTAGCTGTCTTTTCACACTGAGGGTAATTTCAATATCCACATGAAAAGAATATTTGAATTGGGTTCCCTACTATGCAAATAAGACCAGATGTGTAAAAGACTCATGTCATCAAGACATTTTTAAGCAAATAATGTGCATGATACTGCTTTACTGTGAGATTCTCACACAATCAAAAGTATTTTTACAACATATTCCCCCAGCACAGGCCTAATCTGTAGCTGGTAGCCAAGCACATCTCTCCGCATATTCCCAAAAAGCTCACCAGATGGCAGAGTTTTCTTTGTAATGAGCAAGTGTAGGAAGCAGGGAAGAGTGTGGAGAGTCATTATGGTGTATATTTAAAAAAAAAAAAAAAAAAAAATGTTTTTCTTTTTTGTCATTCTTTATTTTTCAAATGGCAGAATTGACAAGCACATGAGTGTCGTGCAAAGGTAATGCATGCATGGGCTTATGCAAAAGCCAAAGTTCAAACATTTCATCAGTACATCATTATACAGAAGAGTTTGTAGAGAGCGGGATGTTGTCTGGTGGTGCATCTTTAGTTTCTTTCTATGCAGTTCTGTTCTGTCAAGTTTTTATACAATTAAACAAAGCTAAACAAGTTTGAATGCAACTGTAGGTAGCATTGGAACAGCAAAAGAAGCAGAAATTGAAGGTTAGAAAAATAAGGAAAAATCAAATTAAATTATAAATAACGTTAAGGATGAAGTGTGGTAGAGAGGCTCCATCTGTTGGAGTCTTCAATGGGGTTGTGGGGGAGGGGGGGGTGAGGGAGTGTATAGGCCAGTGATGGCGAACCTTTTTGAACCCGAGTGCCCAAACTGTAATACATGCCAATTTTTTTCCCTCAAAGTGCCAAAACGGCAATTAAACCTGAATACTGAGGTTTAAGTTTAAAAAAAACAACTCATACAGTTGTCCGAACTAATTAACATCTCTGTGTGTGTATTAAGCAGTTTGTGTGTGTGCTCAGCAGTCTGTCTGTGTGTGTATTTAGCAGTCTGTCTGTGTGTGTATTTAGCAGACTGCTGAATACACACACAGACTGCTGAGTACACAGTCTGCTGATACACACACAGACTGCTAAATACACACACAGACTGCTAAATACACACACACACAGACTGCTGAATACACACACACACACACACACACAGACTGCTGAGTACACACACACACACACACACACACACACACACACAGACTGCTAAATACACACACAGACTGCTGAGTACACACACACAGACTGCTAAATACACACAGACTGCTGAGTACACACACACAGACTGCTGAGTACACACACACACACACACACACAGAGACTGCTGAGTGTACACACACAGACAGACTGCTGAGTGTACACACACTGCATTGAGGGCTACAGTGTATGTGTTTGTGTGTGGGGTGATGTGTGTGTGTGGGGTGATGTGGGGTGGTGTGTGTGTGGGGTGGTGTGTGTGTGTGTGTGTGTGTGGGGTGATGTATGTGTGTGGGTGGGGTGTGTGTGTGGGGTGATGTGTGTGTGTGTGTGTTTGTGTGGGGTGATATGTGTAGGGCAGGGGTGCTGTGTGTATGTCGGCCCCCCTCCCTCCCCACTATTTTCTTTCCCCCCATCTCTCCCTCGGTTTTCTTTCCCCATCCCACACTCACTTTTCTCCCCCCCATACCTCCCTCAGTTTCCCCCCTCCAATCTCTCCCTCAGTTTCCCCCCTCCAATCTCTCCCTCAGTTTTCTCCCCCCCATACCTCCCTCAGTTTTCTCCCCCCATACCTCCCTCAATTTCCCCCTCTCTCCTCAGTTTTCTCCCCCATACCTCCCTCAGTTTTCTCCCCCATCTCTCCCTCAGTTTTCTCCCCCATCTCTCCCTCAGTTTCCCCCTCCTCTCCTCAGTTCCCCCCCATACCTCCCTCAGTTCCCCCCCATACCTCCCTCAGTTCCTCCCCATACCTCCCATCTCTCCCTCAGTGATGTGATGCTAGGCTTATTATTTTGCCTCTTATGACTGCCTTATGGGCTGCCCACAGTATGCCTGGTGAGGGCGCCGAAGGCATGTTTAGTGTGAAGTAGTTTGTTAGTTCTGTTCGTATTGCTTCTGTCGTCAGCGGGTTGTGTAGTAGTGTGGGGTTAAGTTTCAAGGACCATGGTCTGGCTACGTCGGGGACCTTAATTGTTATTGTGATGTCTACATGGTCTGACCATGTGATGTTGCCTATGTTGGCAGTTTGGATCATGTGTGTGAGGGAGGGTGAAGTCAGAAAGAGGTCAATGCAGGAGTACGAGTTGTGTGGGTGGGAATAAAATGTGTAATCCCTGGTAGTCGGGTGGAGCAGTCGCCTGATGTCTACCAGTCTGTCGCAGCACAAAATCTTGTAAAAAAGTTTGTCTATTTTGGTTGTGGGGTTTGGGAGTTTTCTTGTTCTGTGTCTGTCTATTGATGGAGACATCATGGCGTTGCAGTCTCCGCCTATGAATTTAAGGTGGCCTGGGGTTAGGGCTAGGTGGGCTTGGAAAGTATCCCAGAACATTTTATCCGGGGTGTTTGGGGCGTATAGTGAGGTGATGGCATATAGGTTGTGTCCTGCCTGTCCCATGAGTGTGATGAACCTGCCTTGTGGGTCTTTTATAACTTGTCTAGTGCTGAGTGGGCAAGTTTTCCGCATCAGAATAGCTACTCCGTTTTGTTTAGTTGTAGGGGAGTTTGCCATATGGCATTCCCGGTAGTGTAGGATTAATTAGAGGGAAGGGTTTGGTCTGTGTAAAATGGGTTTCTTGAAACAGAATTATGTCTGCGTTTGAGCGGTTTGCCCATCTCATTAGTCGGTGTCTCTTTGCCGGGTTGTTAAGGCCCTTGCAATTGATGGAAATGCCTGTCAGTTTGGTGCTCATATTGTCCGGTCGTGTTTTTGGGTGGGTCTACTCCGAGGGCATCTGTAGTGTTTAGTGGCCGAGTGCCTTGTTATGTATACGGGGCTATTGGGGGGGGAGGTTTGGGTGGGTCTGGGGTGGAAGGATTGGTTGTGTGCTGGTTTGTTGGTGGCCTATCGTTCGCCGGGGGAACTGAGCCCTTGGGTGGAGGAGGTCAGGGGTTCGCCTTTTAGATGAGGTAAGGCGGGGGGGGGAGGAAAGGTTCCCGGTTTGGGTTTTTCCCTGGTCTTATACCTAGGTTGCCAGGCCTGGTGGGGGCGGAGGTTGAGGGGGTATAGGTACCTGCGGTTGGGTGCGGTCCTATTCCTTTTCCCTCTTTGGTGGTCTGTTACCCCGGTGATGGGGAGCAGGTGTGGTCTTCTAGTCGGGGGGGGGGTTACTGTGGTTAGGATTTATGTGGTAGGTCGGAGCTGTCTGGTGGGGAGATAAGCCTTACCTCCCGTTCTCTCCAAGCCGTGTGTATTACCTTAGTTGTGGTGTGATAGAGCCCGAGACAAAGAGGTGGTGAGGCTTTCAGATATCTGTAAAGAGACTATGCATGTTATTAATTGTCGCTACCTCTTATAGTTTGTTCTTGGGTCAAGGAGAGCCTGTGCTAGCAGGAGCCAGGGGGCCGTCCGTATGGTGTCAGTGTTGTGTCTTGATAGTGGGCCATCTGTATCACCCCTGGATATTAGTAAATGTGAGGGTCAGATGGTTGTTGGGGAGGGTACCTTTGCATGAGTGGTGTTTTTTTTTTTTTTTTTTTGAAACAACGGTGACAATAAGAGTAACCGCCTTATCCCAGGTGCATCAGGGATATTTAATATTTCAGGGTGTGTCAGCCTACCCTTTTTTTTTTATATATAGAAAAAACTATAGTAACATTAAGCTTAAACATTTGTCCAGAGCACATCAGGGTCATTTGACACTTCAGGGTGTTTTGGAAAAAACAATAGGATTAAATGTTTTGTCCTAGGTACAGCAAGGTTTTGTAACTTTTTTCCCTCCCTGTTTGGTGTGTTTTGTTTCTCGTAGTGGGGGCTGGTGGCCTTATAGACCAGTTTATTAGATGGGTTCCCATTAGTGTCCGGTCCCCCTAGGTGTGTTGGAGATTTGGCCCCGTTTCACCGTTTAGGGTGGTCCCTATTCACTAGTGGCAGTGTGGGAACAGTGCTAACAAACACTAATTCCGTAGGATATTAAGGCAGCTTAAGAGTTCAAGGCATAGCAGCCTGTGACATTTTAAGTTTCTAGCGGTTTGTATTATTTTTTGTAGTGGGAGTCTGGTGGCTGCGTGGGCCAGAGCATAAGGAAAGTCTGCCTGCCATATTGGTGGATTGGGCCTTTACCTTGTAATTTAATAGTGCTCAGCCTGAGCTTAGTAGCGGTGCCAGTCAGACCTGCGCCACTATAGTGGCAAACTTTAATAGTAGGAGGGGTTAAGGGTACCTTGTGGAGTAGGTGGTTTAGGCCCTATCCTATAGCTTGCGATGATCTTTGCATAGGGTCATCAGCATGCAAACCTCCATATTAACATTATAACAGTAACATGTGTAAACATTAGAACATTTCAAGGTATACAGGCCTGGGTTATTGTTTAGTTTTCCGCTGTAATTTCCGCTGATCAGAGAGAGAGAGTCCAGCGGCCACGAGGGCCGGTTTCAGGTCGTAGGCGCCTGGATGGCAGTCCCAGTTGTTGGTGGGGTCTTTTCTTAGCTTGTTGTCGGGGTATTTGTTGGTTGTGGTCGGTGTAGGCCTCTCTGGGTTCGTTGTTGTTGCGTCGGTCCCTTGCTGGAACCCCAGTGGTAAGCTGTAGCCCCAAGGTCGCTGCAAATTCTTCCATTTCAGCCGGGTGGTATAGAACGTGCTCTTGGTCTCCTATGCGGACATGTAGTTTAAAGAGATGGCCCCACCTGTATCTCAGTCCTTTTTGGGCCAGTGCTGTGGTGAGGGGTTTTAAGTCCCTCGTTTCCTCAGTGTGGTTGGAGCTAGGTCCTGGAAGAAGGCCAACGTGTGGGTCCCATGCTTTGGTTGTGTGGTTCTGGCCGCCGCCATAAGCTTTTCTTTGGTGGCAAAATGTAACAAGGGATGATGTCCCTTGGGACTGATGGGTTGAGGGCCAGGGGCCGCAGGGCCCTGTGCGCCCTATCTAGCTCCCTCTTTTGCTCTGAGGAGTTTGGGAGTATGGACCGGAATATTTCCTGTAGCGTGGGCAATATGACGTCCGTGTCTACTGATTCTGGCATGCCCCTTATCCTAATGTTATTTCTGCGAGAACAGTTGTTCAAGTCTTCCAGGCTATCTTCTAGAAATTGCACCTTATCACTTAGGTAGAAGATGTCTTGGCTGTGCTGGGTTGTATTCGCTTTAATTTGCGTTATGTCAGCTTTCGCTTGGGATGTGCGGTTGTTCAGGGTCTCGATTTCCCCTTTGAGGCCTGATATGTGCCGCTCCAGTTCTGCGGCCGTGTGCGCCTTTATGTCTGCCGAGGCGGCCAGTAACATCTGGTGGAGGTCAGTTTTGGTAAGTGGTCCTTGTGTTCTTGGGTAGTTAGTTGTTTCTTTGTCTGGGGCCTCGCTGTCATCAGAGTCTGCTCCGGATTCATGAGCCTCCTGGCTTAAAGATGGCCGCCTCTGTTCCCTGGTGGCGCGGAACATGGATGCCACTGATAGTGGGGTTTCTTTTCTCTTTTTGTTTCCCCCCATAGTTATGTTGGGTAGGGGGCTTTGTGGGTGCTGTACAGCCCGTTCATGTGGCTGGATGCCTGGTAGAAGGTGCCGATGTTGGCGGATTAGGGCTCGTGGACGGGAGAGCTCAGGCTTCACACGTCCTGCTCCATTGGCGTTCAGGCTCCGCCCCACAAAAAACATTTTTAAATAAAAAAAAATATATATATACAAAATGCAGAATCCGGCGCACTCGCTTATTCACTAAACAATGACTTCAAATCTTAGATATTGTAATAGTTTTAGTTAAAAATACCTCACCTAGGCAAAAACTAATGGGGTTTTAGTTACATTATATGATCATATATTGCATAAGCCTGCCACAACATCAATGTACCCCATTCTTGGCAGGTCCTACTCTAGCAGCCTAATGCTTGCTCTTATGAGATTAATCCACTTACTTGGGAAATACTCCCAAACTAGGACTCTCTGCAAGTCAAGGCTAAATAGAGTCCTGGAATGAGGCACATGTGACAGGGAGGGGTGCAAAACAAAGGAGTTGGCCTGGACTCCCAAAGATATAAAAGAAACCAAGAGGGCTGCACTCACCTGAACATGCATACATTATAGTGTGCTGCTGGGGCCTAGGTGAGGTGTTTTTAAAGGATTACTATAGTGTCAGGAAAACAAAGCGGTTTCCCTGACACTATAGAGCCCTGAGGGTGCCCCCACCCTCAGGGTCCCCCTCCTGTGGCTCTGAATGGGTTAAAACACCTTCAGCAGCTTACCTTTATCAAGCGTCGGGCTCCCTTGGCACTAGTGACCTTTTCTCCCCTGCCGACGTCAGCAGAGCCGAATGTGCATGCGCAGTAAGTGACGTGCGCGCATTCAAAGTGTCCATAGGAAAGCATTTCCTATGGACGCTCTCCGCCATGGAGGCATAATATGCCTCCAGCATCGCTGATGCACCTCTAGTGGCTGTTCAGAAGACTGGCTTAACTGCAAATGTAAACATAGCAGTTTCTCTGAAACTGCTATGTTTGCATCTGAAGGGTTAAAACCTGAGGGACCTGGCACCCAGACTACTTCATTGAGCTGAAGTGGTCTGGGTGACTATAGTGTCCCTTTAAATAAAACTATTACAATTTCTAAGATTTGAAATCATCGTTTAGTGAATAAGCGAGTGTGCTGGATTCTGTATTTTGGCCCCAGCAACACCCTGCAATGTATGTTCAGGTGAGTGCAGCCCTCTTGGTTATAATATATATATCTATCTATCTATCTATCTCATCCAAGTAGAGAGCACTCTGGAGTCTTCGTTTTATATCAAAATAAATACTGCTTTATTGTGCAGAATACAAAAAATGTCGACGTTTCAGTCACAATAGACTTTTCTCAAGACCTTGAGAAAAGTCTATTGTGACTGAAACGTCGACATTTTTTGTATTCTGCACAATAAAGCAGTATTTATTTTGATATAAAACGAAGACTCCAGAGTGCTCTCTACTTGGATGCTATATTTTGGTCAGAGATTACTTGCACCGGAGCAAGGAAAAGACCGGGAACATTGGGTGCTGGGACCTGGGAAAAATATATATATATATATATATATATATATATATATATATATATATATATATATATATATTACTGTTTAAGGAGTTTTTTTGTTTTTTTTTTAAACATTTTTAAAACAATTGCATTTCAAAAACTAGATGCAAAATATCAGTGGAAAGACATACATCCATTTTTTAAAAAAGATTTGTATACTTTTATTAAATAGTAGTTTTCTTGCATTGAAATTGCATACAAGGTCATGTAACTTAAAAAGGTCTGTAACCCATGTTACTAGTAGCCTCCCCATTGACTGTGTATGATTTTGCCCATAGAAACTGTATGGTTTAAAGGGACACTATAGGCACCCAGACTACATTAGCTCATTAAAAAAATCCAACATGAATGTCTTCTCCATCTCTGAAATTGTGGGAGCAGGATCCTGAACCAGAGATGAAGGACCTCAATGCTGGAATCAGGTAAGTAAATGAAAGGGTTTTTAGCTCTTTAATTACAGGGGTAGGATACATCACAGAGGCAGAGAGGCATTATAGTTTTGTATTCGTAACACTATAGTGTTCCTTTAATATATGCTCCCTAATTGAAACTTGGTTTATTTTGTAAACACGCCCACCCCCCATTTTTCCTGTTTCCTACGCTTATAGATATGCTGTAGTAGCCAGCAAGCGCCACTGCAAGGTTGAGGATCGGCTGCTTCACTGTTAGTGGTACAAGGCAGCAGTGATGCCTATAACGGATTGTGGCGAGATGCAGGTAGTCAACAAGGTACTCCCCTAGGCCAGGAACAAGATTTTGTCTGAAAAAGGAGCAGCTACATTCATGACTGCTGACCCAACCAGTCCCCCAACCAATAAACCCGTTGCCCCCCAAATAATACACGTGACACATTCTTCTTGTGGATAAGGGCAACGGCCACAGCTTTATTTAACATAATTTTTTTAACTTAGTCCAACTCTGCCAGCTGTTGGGTGTTTCCCAACAGGCAGTTCTCCCAACTTCTATACCATGAGCCTCGACAGCCGGCTCCTCGCCATCAGCTCCGTGCAGGCTGTCGTCTCCCCAAAGCTCCTTTTTTCTTCTGCGCTGTCCAGGGAAACCCGCCAAGCTGTGACAACACAAAACAAGAAAACAAGACACAAGCCACAACACCAGAAACAGGGTGGGAGGGTGGGAAAACAGCCAAGATCCCTCAATGAACCTGCTGACTGGTAAGTCCCCTCCCTCTCCCTTTCCTTAAGAACCACAAATGTATCCATTTTAACCCAGCCCCCAATCTTGGGCAGCAGTCATGCTCCCCCTTCCTTATCCTTCCAGGGGGAAACTTGACTGCTGACCCAACCAGTCCCCCAACCAATAAACCCGTTGCCCCCCAAATAATACACGTGACACATTCTTCTTGTGGATAAGGGCAACGGCCACAGCTTTATTTAACATAATAATTTTTTAACTTAGTCCAACTCTGCCAGCTGTTGGGTGTTTCCCAACAGGCAGTTCTCCCAACTTCTATACCATGAGCCTCGACAGCCGGCTCCTCGCCATCAGCTCCGTGCAGGCTGTCGTCTCCCCAAAGCTCCTTTTTTCTTCTGCGCTGTCCAGGGAAACCCGCCACCGCGATGCCCACCTCGCGCACTACGCTGCGCGGGCATCGCGCCCCCCCGCCGACAGCGCCGCCTCAATTCCTGCTTGTAATCCCATATTGAAAATATCTAACCCAATGGGGGACAAATGAACACCATCCCGTCTCATGACATCATCGTTAACCCCTTCCAACTCAAAGTGCCTCACAACTACACCCCCCAGTTGGCGTACAAACCGAGACATGGTCATGTTAACCTTACGCCTATAGCGCTCCAAAGCCTTACCATGACCCCCGGACCGCCACACCGGGCGCGGAACGATCTCGGACCAGACGAGGGTCAGGTCCCGGAACAACGCAAAACAGCGGGCCACGTCATGCCGCATTGCACGAACTAGGTCCACCGACCGTCGCCGTCCGACATCGTTCCCGCCCACGCCGACTTCGCCAACAGAGCTCCCTTCCCTGCCTCCCGGACCAACTCTAGCGCCCGATCAAACGAGGCGTAACGAACGTGTGATTCTTCCTTGTCAATGTCATCATTCACCGACCCACCCGAGGGGTAGGACAAGTGGTGAATGAGACGGAAGGATCCAGGCTCTTTCTTAGGAACTAACCCCAGCGGGGATACCCGCAAATTGGGAAATGGAGGCGAGTCAAACGGACCCGCCATCCTGCCCAAACAAACTTCCTTCCTCAACTTATCCTCTAGGATAGACTCTTTCCCCACCACCGAACGCAGGTTATCTGCCAGGGAAGGGGAATCCGAATGAACAAACGGAATCCAAAACCCCGTCAAAAACCCTTCTAGCAGAACCCCTGCATCCTTACGCTTGGGATACCGGTCGAGCCACGGGCGCATCCTTAGCACGCTCACGGGAGTCCTCCCCTCTAGGGAGATCCTCCCTATTGGATCTCCCACCATGCTTGCCCTTCTTGAAACAGCGCAGCGCAGGGTGGGCCCCTCCACAATGAGAGCACTCGTGCTTGAAACGGCATGATCCAAACCACTTGCAATGACTCTCATTGTAGAGCCAGCAGACTCCCCTGCGCTGCCCAACCGGCGCACTGGACGGCACGCCGGCTGCTCCTGGAAAGGGGGACGGATGACTAGGGGTCATCAGCAAGAGCCAAAGGCTCCCGTCCTGGACCCCAAAATCCATACCCGAACACACCGCCATCTTCTGGCGAAATTGTTGGTCATACCGAAACCAACATTGTCCCCCATAAACCTTGTACGCCCCCCATATGAGGTCTAGATACCCAAACAACGCTGGTGCCTTCTCCGGGAAGGCCCGCGTCATCACACTTGCAAAGATGGAGAACCCTTGCAGCCAGTTACCAAACGCACGCGGCAGATGCTTACCTCTGTCGCCGTCCACCGAATCTCCCCGCCGCGGCCTATCCACCGACTCCCGGTCCGGGGGGACCAGGGACAGTAAATCTACGTATTCACCCTTTACAATCTTCTCTTTCACCTCCAAAGCCACGTGCATCCCAAGTGGGGACAGCTCGCAACCTGGCAAGCACTGCGCCCTACCTGACCGAGTACACTGACCCTTTTCCCGTGCATGGGCCTGCGCAGGGAGAGAAACTGGGACAGACAAAGGGCCCCCCCCTGGGAGTCTATCTAACACGGCCTTGAGCAACCCCAGAACTTCCCCATTAAACCCACTAGCTACCCTATCCCCAGCTAGCGCATGCCAAGCGCTAGCGCAACACTTACCGCTGGCTGGCTGAGGATGCTGGGCCTCACCATCATCAGAACCGGAACTGGACCCCGATCCCAGGGGTGATCCACGGCCGGCCTCCTGGCCCGACCGCAATCTTTCTTCCAGGG